ACGAAAATGATATAGAGGTCGCTTTAAAATTCCATTCTTATCAACCGGAAGTTTGCCTACATTACATAGAATGCAACCTGGAGCGGAAACGGAAATAGCTTAATGGCCATGTCGATCTAAAACATTAGTCTTGTATAGATATAGCCCCTGGAGTTATTCAGTAGAGTTGATGTTCTGTCACAATGGAACAAATATGTTGATATATTGTCATGAAAATATAAGTAAAAATGTCGTAGTTGAGGGGACGACGTTATGCAAATAATTTTTTTTTTCTAAATCCACATTGAAATCAATCTAAACGACACCCATTCCTTATTAACCCCGTGGGAACCTTATTGAATGCAAGTCTAAAAATCCGAAGATTTGTTTATTTGGTTTATTTATATTTAAACCCAGATTAGTGTACTACTCTCTACGTAAAGGAGAACTCCCAGATATAGATATGGTTAACTATATTTGGAAGACTCTTAGAACTCTTTTTTCTAGTCCCAAGCAACTTGCTGAAGCTCTGCGATACGTTTTCAAAGAAATACCCACGCCTAGTTGTCCGAGGGCCCGAATACATAACCACTATACAAACTGCTTTGACGGTCATTTCCACACGGTTAAACTTTGATACATGATGAACAGGCTATTTGTACACGTCTGTATTGCATAATCAAACGACTATCGAATATTTAAGTCTGAAATAGGACCTAATCGCCAAATAATTCACCATGTTCCTTGATATCTTCCAACCAGACTAAAATTAGAAAACAAAAGAATATTCAGTACCAGGAAGACTAAACAATGTAATCAGGAACAATACGTACATTAACCTGTAATTGGTACTGATTCTTCACATAGTTTTGTTTATAAATTAGTTTGTTTATTGTGTCTAGCTCTTGTCAGTTTAGTCTCTGGTTTAAACCAGGTATCAAGCACTTCTTGGACTGGATTCAGACCATCGTCATAAAAGATCAAATTATATTAGATTATGACTTAGTTGACTAGATACCCTTTTACTTGTATATTGGTTGAAAGTGAATAGACAAAACAACAATGATTATTGAAGCCCATTAGGACATTTCATGACGCAATTTGTGTATATCATGGTGGTATGTATTTTGACAATGACTTTCCGCATTCAGAGGAAAGTTTAATTATTTCGTCACTGAACAGGTTCTCAATAAAGATTTCGTTATACTTTTCAGCACCGACTGGGCTAATGGAGACGAGCATAAACCATACAGTGCAATATGAAGGAAATTTTGACCAGATAGCGGCACTACGGTCTACTCTTATTTCGAATTCCAACTGTTCATGGTTCTTTTACGTGCCCGCCAATATGTTCGCGTGACCTCGTGTTTTCGTCCCATCCGAACGACTAGACACTGACGAACCATGACGGAAAATCCCGAGAAACTTTCTAGGTCAACACCGGCAGCGAACCCGAACCTTCTGGTTAGCGTACCAACGTATTACTCACTGAGCCACCGCGATCTGTAAGGAATGTCTATTTCAGTTCAAGAACAATAACACTATGATCATCATCCGATATCCTTCAAGGTGTCACCTCGTGCGGGGCACGTGCGTGTGTATCAATTATATCACATTTCACAATTAGTAGAAATTATTGAATTAAAATTACAAGTAAAATATTTACACGTTCTCTTTGCTACCTTTGAAATTAGCAGCTCAAAGGAATAGTTTAAAAGAACCGGATGATTTCACTAACACGGTCGAAAGTGGAAATTTATTTTATACAAATATGGTGCACCTTTTGATGTTATTGATGACGTATTGGATATCAATGGCGGAGAACGTTTGATTATGGGAATAGTGTTTGTATGGGTGGCCTACACACCACACACACACTTAAAAATAGGGTTTGATATTAATATTCCGTGGTGTTGCATGCCATTTCTACTATTATCATTTTTATAACATTTAAAGGCGGGGAATATGGCCACGTGTACTTGAAGAACAACTACTGACTGAAAGGTTTTATTCTTTATTTTAAAAAGGTAACTTAAATCATTAAATGGCAGAACTTTTCAAATCTACTTAAAATCGGGCCCATCATATGGCACCGATGGTTTATTATGGTCTTGTTACGCTCATAAATATCTAATTAATAGTTTATATAACATTTAAGGCATAAAGAAAGACCTGCAATTGGCAGACTTAGCTCTTGCATAATGCCTGTTTAAATAAATTTCTCCAATTTTGGATATCATTCTTAAAGTTATGACATTATGTGTGATTATTCTTCGTAAAATATCGCATTCAATTTTTAGAGTGCGACACAAGGGATGTCTGATAACACAGAAATGTGAAGGGTTTTATTGTTTTATTAATCTGCAGAGATGTTTATTGTATCCAACAGTTCGACATTAACGCTATATATTTCTTTAATCTTCATTGTTTGTGCAGCTTCTTTCTTATCATTTTATCTGGCTATGATTATCTTTGATCTTGTGAAATATAGGATACCTCATGTGGATTCTGTCCTGCATATTTCTCTCTGAAAATCTGTAGACTATTATCTAATCTTGAGGTATTGTCTTTGGTGGTAAGAAATAGAACTAGCACATTTCACACTGTTTCCGCAAATGAAATAAATCTGATGTTTATAAAAGCAACTGGGGTATTATTTCAATGGTATAAAGGTTTAGAACATACTTATGTATTTCGTGGAAAGGAATGGAGTGGTATAGAATGATGTTAAAGGTATTGTCGACCCTTTACCTGTGTCATTTTGAAACTAACACACGGTATCTGTTATTTTTGGTGTTAATTTCGCCAGGGCATTTTACGTGCAATTTTAACTAGTACATCGGACCAGAATTTGACGAACGATTAGATATTCGCACCTTGTCCGGCCCACAAACGACGCACACGCCAACTAAGAACCGGGCATAAAATGATCTCGTAATTCGAACTACGGACGTATTGTTTGTGATTCCAGTGTACCAACCACCGCGGCGTATTTCCTTGGTGGAAAAAAAATATATGTTTAAACTTGGCCAGCTCAGACACCATTGTGTCTTCTTTGAGTGTCAGGGGGACACAGTGTCTCAGTGAGTAAGGCGTTGGCTCCCGAATTGGTTTATCCTTGTTCGATCCCCGTGTTGGTCGACAATGTTCCCCGGTATTTTCCAGTGTGGTATCCCTTTGTCAGTGGTGCAGGGTGGAGGGCCCGACATGACACTGGGTCTAGTCTTTCGCGTGAACTAAAAACCGAGGTCACTGTGTACACTTGAAAGAACTCTTGACATTTTGAAATGAAATGAAATGAAATGGGGTTTAACGTCCTACTGTTCTGCTCCTAAACTGGGCTAATGAAGACGGGCATACGCCATACAGTGTGCTATGAGGGAAATTTTGCCCGGGCAGCGGCGCTACGGCCTACTCTTATATCCAATTCCAACTGCCAAGGGATCTTTTACGTGCACGTCAATATGTACACGGGGCCTCGGATTTTCGTCCAATCCGAACGACTAGACAGATGTCCTTTTTAGGCCCTCCGTTCTGCATCACTGACAAAGGGAAACCACCCCGGAAAATCTGGATGAACTTTCTCGGCCAATGCAGGGATCGAACACTCGACCTCCAGGCTAGCGAGTCAGCGTCTTACCCAGTTAGCTTGACATTTTGAATTCAAAATAAGACGCGGTCCGGGCAAAGTTTCCCCTCATTGCGCACATAGCATGATGTACTACGTCTGTCTTCCCATCTTCTTTATTCCGGTGTGAAAAGAAAAATAGGACGTCAATTTATTTTTCATGTTTGGCTGGGGGCAGGCAATTTATTTACGCGTTACAAGGGAAGTAACTCCAATAAATTAAACTTTCATGGTTAGAGCAATGTATTTTAAAAAGACGCCATTGTAGTCGGCAAAAATAAGGTCCGCTATCAAAATAGATATAAGGGGCCTTTCCTATCCTAGAGTGGACCTGGGAACCCTCTAGAAATTTAAATGGTAGTATGCAACATACACATATACGTAAAACACGGTTTATTTAAACTCGAAGGCTTCTTAAATGTGTACTAGCAACTGATTCTTAGGATCTGCACAGGCATTTTTGCCATGCTGTTTGGAAGATTGTTGTGCCTAACCGAAAACATGAGTAGAACTTTGGATCATACAATAAGCAATTACTATTGGGAATTTAAACCGTGATTATCACATCAGCCTAACATAATTTTCCGAAGAATACTGTTTACGTATGGGTTTTCGGCTTGACGACATTTGTATCCCACTCTGTGCTCTTAGGAAGTCTACATTTCATGAAAAATGTAAGAGACATCGGTCAATCCATTACTGAACGGTAAACGTAATAACTAACAATTTATGAATCATATAAAAAATGCTTCAGTGGTTTTAGAGGAGTTTAGCAAAGGGGTCGTACAACATCCATTACTCTAGGTAGGTCAGTTCTTGGATAATTAAGTGACATTATTTTGAATAGGATATTGATCATACGTAATTATATTCATAATGGAAAATTTTGATAAAGGGGACAGTGTACCGAACGACAGACACGGGGCACGGCAATATATGACCACATATTAAAATTATGGTTCCTAGTATTTACGGGACGCATTACTTGTAATATATACTGACAAATAATTATTGTAATCCCCATCTAACAGTTACATGTTGATATCAATCTTCCATGTTATATATTTCCCGGCGTAACAAGGACAGACTGTCTAATCGTTCGGATGGTACGAAAAACCCAGGTCTGGTGTACACATTAGCGTGCACGTAAAAGATCCCTTGACAGTTGGAATTCTATATAAGAGTAGGCCGTAGTGCCGCTGTCCGGGCAGAATTTCCCTCATAGCACACTGTATGGCGTATGCCCGTCTTTATTAGCCCAATTCGGAGCAGAACAATAGGACATTGAACCCCGTTTCATTTCACTTCATTTTCATTTTATTTATATATTTCCCCAGTCCAGCATGATGTCGGTCCAGAAAATGATCAAATAAAAAGTCAACACCTCCAAAAATCTAACATGATTTTATTGAGGAACAGTTAAGGCACTGAAACAAACAGGCAGTCACTACTTTCAATATATGGTCAAATTTTGAAGCCTAAAATATTTATGCATTTTATAATTTACATGCGTTAGTACTACAGCTTGACGCAATGTACAAAACACTTATGGCACATTAAAGTATTATTATATACACAATTTATAATTTAACAACAATTAGTCAAAATAACAATTGTACAATATAAAGATAATACGTTCTAAATTATCTGAAAGGCCAGGTCCACTTTAAAAAATAATCCAACAAAAACAGCTGAATCCCGTATAACTTAAACAAATATTTATTTAAACATGCATTTGTAAAACATATAATGCAGCAGACATACACACGAATCCATTATCAAATCTAGAAAAAAGTTGGAAGAAAGCGCCAAACTTTTTTTTCCAAAGTATGGAATATATTTAGGTGTAATCATAGAATTTCTAGATCAGGTCTGTTCTGTACCACTCTAAAGCACATAGTCTCCGATCATTGAGGTCGAAAGTCAGTTTAATTTAAATCCAGTTTCATCGACTACTTCAAAGTACTTCGAAAGATCCCATATCAAAACTAAACATCTGACACTTATTATGCGTATATAAAAAAAATAAGTTGTTGGCGTCAGCAAAGTCGACCGGGGGCTTTAAGACATACAATGTCCAACAGTAAGGCCCAAGACCTACATCAACGATCTACATAATTATAATTAGTATTCTATAATAGATTTACTCGGCAGTTCATTAGACTTAATCATGTGAACAAAATCCGTGCTTATATTTAACTATGAGATATACTTAGATATTCATATATAACAAATTTCATATAAATTATTCTAGGAAAATAAAGTGACGACTTAGATGGGCTGTAAAGTAATAAATAAAAACGCAACAATTCTGCCAGAATCGATGGGAAATATCTAATCAAAACTCTTTGTGGTTGTTAAAGCGAAATAACATTGGGACAAGGGAAGTAACTCTCCTGATAGTTTACACAAATAGTTGGATACAGACCACCATTAAATTGTAGTTCGTCTATTTATAGCAATTCTGTCTCTGTATCTTTTCTCCCCTTTTGCATGCCCATTTTGGTTGATTTTTTGGTCTAGAATGGATGAAGAGGGTTTGAATTAACATTTTCTGCCAGGTTTTGGTAAATATTCATGATTGTGAGGCGAAAGGATAACGGGGTTATCATATTGGCTACGGTGATGTTCGGCAACTAGTTACATGTTTTTAGTATGCTTCTTCAGGTTTGTGTATCTCAAAAATTTTGGTGGTCAACCCCATACAAATTTTAGTGCAAAGACATGACCATTTGTTCCTTTGTCTGTAGTGAAAAGCATTCAGTCCAACGAAAATTTTGGGAAAAGTTGGAGGTGGGCAAAGAGGCCAGAATTAACATTGAAGTCAATGGGGAAATTAATGGTGGTCTGCCTCCAGTTATACACGGGATAAAAATATTCGGTTTCGATAAAAGAAAGACTTATCAAGGCGTGAAAATTCTCCAGACGGTTAACACAAATAGTAGTAGTCGGGATGAATGCATTCGGTTTCGAATAGAAATATTCGAAATAAATAAATTTGTTTTAATACATAAATACTCAAGATATATATAAATTCTGTTTCGAATAGAACTACTCGAGATAAATACATCTGTTTTAGAATATAAATACTCAAAATAGATACATTCGGTTTCAAATAGAATTACTCGAGATAGATACATTTGTTTTAGAATATAAATACTCAAAATAGATACATTCGGTTTCGAATAGAATTACTCGAGATAGATACATTTGCTTTAGAATATAAATACTTAAAATAGATACATTCGGTTTCAAATAGAACTACTCGAGATAGATATATCTGTTTTAGAATATAAATACTCAAAATAGATACATTCGGTTTTGAATAGAATTACTCGAGATAGATACATTTGTATTAGAATAGAAATACTCGAGAAAAATGCATTCAGTTTAGAATAGAAATACTCGAGATAATAATCCCTTTTCGAATCAAGGCATGAGGAAGACACAAATTAACAATGATGAGGGGTGGGCTTCTAATAACATTTATCATTAAATTCGTAAACGTTGGGCTGCTATCGAGCCGAGTCATTCATTTGATAATATCTAGGCGCTTTTAGTTTGACTCACTGTTATTAATGTTAAATTAGTAACGAGAGAGATATTTTTAAAATAAGTTAATAGCTTTATACAAATTTATAATATCATTATCTATACATGTTTATAATCTATGTACAATTATTACAATTAACCCCATTCTCAAAAGGTTACAAATATTGTCAACAATTCGATGTTTGTTTAAGGTCATAACAATAATATCACCCAATGAGAGAAGCTCGTCAGTTATGCAGTGCACCTCCGAATCCGTCCAGCTCTTTGGAAACACCAACCCTTTGTGGGAGGACTCTTGTTTCCTTTCTTACCCCCGAATCAGAAACCCGGCAGTTATTCAAAAAGTTGAATCTTGGTACATGCTTCATAGAAGTGTTACATAATTAATGAGTTTTCTGCCAGTTTTGTCAGCTTATCGAAGTCAGCTTATGGAACTATGCATTTAAACGGAAAAGAAATGATGCACTTTAAGAATATGACAAAAAAGAACAATCAGAAAATGTGCCGAATTAATATTCCCTATTTCAAAGATACGGAAGATATTTAAAATCAATTACTCTTTGGAAAGGATAAAAAAAAAATCTTAGAACCGAAACGTGGTCCGCGTTAACTGATCAGTAGCCGGAATTTTGTAACATGGTTAGGATCAACTCTTTCTTACGCTGGTCATACCAGGTTTCGTGAATCTACACACGACCGATAATGGTGGGTGTCCAGGTTGACAGATTGCTTTATACTTTCCACTCATAACGCTTTCACATAAGATCTTAAACTAGAGTTTTATAAATAAACATGTGCCTATACTTTCCTATCCTTTAACCGGCTTTATTGAACAGACAAAAATAAACCCTATCCGTCAGTTAGATGATGAGGGTTTGTTTGAACGGTTGTTCAAAATTTAAATACATTGTTACAGAATCAAGTTGACATGCGCAAAAAAATCCAATGGTTAACCTAATAAAGAATATTAGAATATTTGATGAATTGGAAATGAATAAATTTCGAATTAACGGTTTGTAACATTAGAAAAAATATTGATATTATGTTACAAATCAAGTCATACCCAACGTAAATACAAATAAATAAATATTATTCATTAATTTTCGACCCAATATCATTAAACTGAACTTAAAAATCTCAAAATCAAGTTCCATAAACCTCAAGCCAGGACCTAAATATAAAACAATGTTCCATAAACCTCAAGCCGTATAACTAAGGGTAACCCGTACCCCAAATAGCCTAACCTAAAGCACATAACTCTAAATAAAAACAATATTACCGGTTTTAGTTAAATGAAGCTGATAACGTTGTGGGTTTTGAACACAATTACCATAAAAATATGAAACGATCTCCGACAAGAATTATGACTGATCTAGAGACGCTAAGATGTGTAACCCCACAAAACCCGTACCCAGAAACCGCCCTACAGGTAATATTAAAATAAAACGTTTATTGATGATAAAGCTGTGTGTTTTGAACACAATTACTTTCTAAACTGATACGAATTGTAAACGACTGCGACATAACTGGCCTACACATTTTAGTATCTCATATTGTTATTGTGTTCCAAACACAACATGCGTTTCGTGTAGGGGTATTGTGGGTTATTCCCAGTTTCTGGGGGTAATTATATTCGAAACACACCATTCTACATTTCCAATAAGACATTGCTGGTAATGTAGTTTTCATGCAGCGTTTTGAGAATATTTCTAGCCGCATTTAGAATAACATTTATCTCTTCGACAATGCACATACTTAACGTCGCACAGCTAAAACATTTCGTACACTCTCGCCTCACCTCTCAACATTTAAGTCTTATTCTAAACCATAATACCGACATTTACTCTACGTTGTATTTGTTATCGAGTCACAAGCGAGCAAGTCATTCATAAGCTAAAACTACTTTGACTCTTAGTTTGCGCATGTTTTCTTTCTTTGCTCTCCGTTGATGACATAGCAAGATATAACACAGCTCCCATAACAAATAGTACAGTAACAACGATACCTAACAAACTAATAATCATCGCGTATCGTGTACGTTTTTCTCCAAGCTTTGTGTTCCCATCACGGTACGACTTAGCGGCCATTAGAGAAAAAAATATGGCCACAGCCCCAATGGGGATATTAAAACACATTGTGACTAAAAAGCCAACAGCTATATTTGTGTTGGGAATTTCTTTAGGCAGATCCTCAGCCTCAACTGGTGATGTCTTTTCTGTGGTGACTTTCGTAGTTTTTGTTTTCGGATCTTTGACAACTACCGTAGTCAGACTTTCGGTGTTTTCATAAGTAGGTTGAACCTTTATTGGCTTAAAGTTGTCCTTTCTCCTCGTTTTGTCGACTTTTGCGTATAGGTCATCGGGTTTTACTGGGGATTGACCAGGTGCTGGTTGCGTTAAAGTTGGATGGTCACCTCCCACGTTCCTCGCACCAGGGGATGTTGTCTTTTGCCAGTTATCTCCCCTATTGCTTGGAGTATTTGCATATATCACTTGTTGTTGTGGATCGGAAGGAAAATACTGCATAGGTATATCACAGATTGGATAGGAATTAACGTTCTTTTTAGTGACAAGTTCATATGGCGGCAAGGGCACATGGTGACTCTTACTGTCTATGCAGCACACTGGGGTTGTCGCGTACGTGTTTTTGATACTTGGGCCTTGGTCAGCACTCCCTGCTTCCTCGGCGGAAGCATTTTCCATTGTGTTAGCAACTATATCTGGAGTGTCACTTCCACTCCTGAGCGTCCCGCCAGAACCCCTCTCCTTACTATGACGTGGGTCGTCTGGAGATGGTGATTTGCGAGGACTCTCCATGCTGTATGGCTTACAGGTTCATCTAATTCATACTGTAATTCTGAAAAAAAAGACAAATAAAGGTATTAATAACATTAGAAAGTATGTGCAATTTGATTAACTTAATTTATTTTGAATAGGGCAAAATACAGTCAGACATTATTTGTCCGAATTAAACGACCGACATCGCGTCCAGAATAGTGTGCGAGACCATGTACTTACACATGTTCCCAATTCTAAGGTCAAATGATCAAGTATGTCTTAACAATACTGGTTTTAAGTATTACCATTCACTCAGATCATATCCAGGGGGATAACTTTATATGTACAATAGAACATTCGTACAAGGATATTTGTTTGTTATCAAAGAATATGTCTCAAGTTTTAAATCCATTGATCGAAAGAATATTCTTCACTGTAAGCTCTAACTGTTCAACACAATGCATGCTTAATATAACAGCGCATACGATCCAAAATGACAACGCAAGCCAAGCCGTTAAAGGAGTCGTTCCAGTAACTAAAACAGGTTAATTATACATGAAACCTTTATCCTAGTCCTGTCCAATTATCTGAAAATCATTGATACTTTTCGAAGAAAAACATCCTCTCAGTTTCCACGAAGACCATAAACACATTCTACAGAGGAATAAAATTCATAAATTGGTTATGTAAATTTAGCCACCATACCATATTCGATCGGTTCCATATTTTGATTTTGTAATGTCAGAAAAGTTTATTACATGTATGTGGTTTCTGTTAAACACAAAACTTGTCACGTGACAAAATAAACAGAAGACTGGGAAATACCCTTTCCTCGATTTTTATGGGTTTCTTTCGATTTTAAGAGTATCACTTTCTGGGTCTAATTAAAATTCGAGAATCCCGGTTTCTTAAGACAAAGCAAATCCTCACGTGTATTGACATTATATGTCTCTATAATATTACCTTTATTCTTATACTTTAATAAGACAAAGTAATTTTTCCAAAAAATCAGATTTACGACGGGGTCTTCGTTGTGAACAAAAATAGCTTTCCAAGCTTTTAATTTTTATATACTAAGTTTATAATTTTGCAAAAAAAATCAGATGTACGAAGGTGTCTTCGTTTTCCAAGCTTTTAATTTTTATATACTAATTTTATACGTGCACATTGTTGAACTTGTTCATTGCTTATCTGGAATTTTACATGATCTTATGGTTCAGTTATATTTGTGTTTCCAGGAACAAAATCGATTAAAGATTCGTTTTTTATTTGTCTTTCCCTCTTAACATGGTTTATTTACTTTGTAGATTACAATCATCAAGATAAATACTGTTTCATGTTGGAATAATAGTGTGTAATATGTTTAATAATGGTGGATAAGTTGATGTTATCTTAACTCGGCCAGTTCACTTAACTAATTCTGGTTTTTGCTGAAATCTAAACGCTTTGTATTAGCTATAATAGATGGTATTTATATTGCACCAAAGTCTACAGCCCGTGCCCAGACGCCTAATTTAGTGACAAAACACAGAACCGGCGGATCCACCCGAGGTGGAAATAACAAGTACAAGCGTACTATATGGACAGTAGCCATCTTGGAGTTGTGCTATCATATCAAAAGTGCCAAGTTTCATGTCTATCGTACTTGAATTGGTAGCACCTTAAGCCCCATTTCCATGCACGCGTTTTCGCCGGTTACACGGGAACGGCCCCTTTGCATTTGCATTAGACCGACTGTTTCGCCGGCGAAAACGCGTGTGGAATCGCCGCAAAATCGTCAACATGGAAAAGGTGCCTTGGGCTCTTTTTGAAGAGCGTAGGAGAAGAAAAACAACAACAATGAGATAGGCGAATGGCATTGTAAGTGTTAAGGAAGCATCTGAAAGTAAAAGTGTGCCAGTTATAGCTATATCCAGTCATAGCGTTTGTATACGATAAAATGTACGGCATGTTGTCTATTTTTACAATGCTTTGGTATGTTACGTTTAGATATGGAATCTTGATTACAATCAATAGTAAAACGCGGGCATACTAATTAATCCGCTTAATTATCCTAATTAACAGTGGCACTAAACACGGTGTGTTTCATAGTTAACATAGACTTGAGTCCTAATTCCAATTTCTGATTACACTCAAACAGATAAAGGGACAATTCGTAAGATGGACGAAACTGTGGCTGAAGATATCTCCTATGACTAACATGTAAGATATTTGTGGTAATGCACCTATTTAGAATTTTATGATGTAAACTGTAAATCACATCCTTGTTTCCAAATGAGGGTTACGTGGTCGTTGAGAGATAGAGAGGGAGAGGGTCATTTCGGGACTAACATATGATTCAATTTTATTTCAATAATTCGCTTGCGCGTAGGGGTCTTTAGCAGTGGGAGGAACTTGGAGGATCCGGAGAAAAGCCACGAGGTTGGGCAGGCGCCCCTACTCCTTGTCACGTACAACCGGGGAATCGAAACCACGCCAGTTGACTCAATGATACAACGCCATCCAACCCCCCGTGGTTGTTGAAAATGGTAAGTATATCTTGCTTGCTTCGTACACAAACGCGACATGATTACCTCCACCTATTCATTTTGATAATACTATCAAGATTTCCACGTTGATTGCTTTCCATTATTTGATAACTAAGAACAGAACCGAATATGAACCAAATGTCCCTTTATATACATCAACCATACCAATAATTACAATGTGGACCATAAGCCAACTCTTTAAGTAGGAGTAGAAGTCTTTTATATTAGGTTCTGGCAATTTGTATATGATGTCCAATTAGTGAAACTTATTTCAGAAATTGCTTGCTTATTCTGGACAAGAAAATGGTATGATTTCGGGCCTATTATTTAGGGGATACAAGAACAATAATAGACGAACACGTCAAGTATTAGGATAGGAACATGTATTAGCAAGAACTCGAAATATCTTTAAGTTCTGGTATAGCAAACACACATTTTTGTTGGTTCACCTTTTCTGAAAGAACATCGACCCTTGAGTTTTCACTGATTATGAGATGTAATAATACATACTTTGGGTTAACGGAATAGGGAGTGAAAGGTGCATAATGAACTTATCGTAACTGGACAGACATAGTAACGAAAGATGTACAGTTACACCAATGCACGAATTGAACAAAATAATGAAATTGTAAGTAGACCTTCCAAACTGAATCAGTTCTGTTTGCAAAATAGTCCCCTGACTCAAACGTATTTTATAATTAGTATATTCCAGATTGAAAACCCCAATTTGTTAGATTACGTCTAGTTATACGATGATGCACTAATAACCATTTAATTTAAATGTTCTTGCATAGTCTCGATCCACAGCATTTCGCATCTTACAAATTCATCCTCTTCACAAATTGCTTTATTTCGCCGTTCCAATACGACTAGCAAAAGAAAGCCCGACTTAGATCCAACCTCTCATAAGTTGGATTGATATCATTGAAACAACACGCAACAAAAGAAGTTTAACAAGCAAATAGGGTTTAATCTCACTGTGCCCCCCAATCAACTGGTGTTATAGGGTAGTGGTGTGAAAATTTAAGTAAACAAAGGATTATAGACTGTATCCTTATTAGTACTGTTCACCTAGTTAAAATTTAATTATTTTAATGATTAAAATATATAAGTTAAATTCATGTGTCATCGGTTATCGAGTATCTTAAATATTATTCACCTACCTTTCATTCAGACAGTACTCATAAATCAATCAAATATATGATTAGAAACTCACTATCATTATATAAGGATAGTTGTCACCCCCAATTACATTATATCTTTTAAAATGGCTCAAGTTCGCATAGGGTTTATTCCTAATTCTCAAGGAGGTCAAAATTTAGTTAATTTGGGGTATAAGTACAGAGTAAAATATACAAAACCCAATAGCACCAGCAGACTTTTACTGAAAATACAATAGTTCAATTGGATAACGGGGGACGATTGCCCCCTAAAAGACGAAAATATAAAAGAGTAGAAGAATTTATTAATGATCTGTTAAATGGAGTAAAAAGTGCAATTGAATATATTGACGCCATATCGCATTTAGTAGGGTTATGATTTATGTTTGATACATGTATTTATGAAATTTATTGTGAATAAAGTTGTTAATTAGTTTAAAACTAGTAGTTTAAAAAAACAGACTATACTTTTAACACCGTTGTATTCGATAATCCCCTTGCTTGATTAATCCCCCATGAGAACAATAGCAGGGGGTACAGTGAGATGTCCCCGCAAATAGCTTTCCCTGATCATTGTAGGGCAACACAGGGTATCAATTAAGGAAGTGGTTAAGGGCTTCAGTATCGTACCCTAAGTTTATCCGATTGGGGAGTTAATCATGTGGTGTGATAACACACTGACTGATAAAATTACGGTGTGTTCCCATTTAGCCGGCAGACTGTTAATCCTTTGATTGATCTTAAAACTATAGTCTGTTTAAAAGTAGTCACTCAAGAACTGTTCACTAGTGTTCAGCGTTAATGAGCTCTTAATCCCTCTTAATAAAATTTATTAACCAACTAATTAATGACATTTTGATCACAGTTCATGCCGGCGTTATGATTTCAAACATGAATTCAATTCACTATTTACCATTTCACAGATATTATTTGGTGGTACCAAAAGGCCTCGAGTTAAGAAATATCGACAACTTGATACAATAATTGAACATTTGAAAACACAGTTATTCAATGGCTCTTTAAGTGTAAATCGGTATGGAACAAATATTTCCTATTTAGTGGGGCTGTAAAATGATTGTTATGTTGTAAGGCATTTATTTAAATAAATATTAAATTTGTTCAAATCAATATATTTTTATATGTGTAAGCTATTTAATGTTATTTAATAAAAGTTAAATTTGTTAAAATCAATACAGTTTTAGTCTTAAAAAAGATATGGACTATAGTTTATAACACCATTGTTCTAGGATTAACTCTGGATTAGCGGCAAAATTTGACATCAAAGCCTGCCGGCTAAGTGGGAACACCCCAAAATTACGACGCAAATATCGCACTATAAACGAACATTATTAAATTGGATGTTGGGCATCAGGTTCTACCAAGACAGAAGT